GGGGGGGGAAATCCAGTTCGTCTTGAAGAAACTGAGCCTCATTTATTAAAGTGAACGCTGGTTGTCGAGGTAATAGCAGACATAAGGTCCATCCTTTGTACGGGAGAGTAAACATGACAAATGGGGCAGAGCTTGGCGTGATTAAAGATGAAACAAGGATCCATCTTAGCCAAATCTGAAAACTACTATCTACAGCCTTCTTCTAATGGAAGAGGGGCACAGCAGCACGGCTCTGCTTTGTTGGAGCTGAGCTTCTCTCTGTTCCCCCTTATAAATAAAAAACAAAAAACCCTCATTCCTTCACTTTTCGGAGCGTTCAAAAACAAAAAACCACAACCAAAAACACCACGATTCTCCCGTGTTCCCTACACACACACACGCACACAATGACACCCACGAGCACACACACAACCCGTCCATACAGGGAATAGTTATAGGCTGCTGGCTGGTCCGCTGGATCGGCTTTGAGAAGCTGCCGGTTGGATCTGGAGGCTGGCGGAGGAGTTGGAAGGGTTTGACCTGATCTTGGTGTTGGGTAACTTGTGGTCTTTCTTCCATTTCATCCTCCTGTTCTGGAACCAGATTTTGATCTGGCGTTCGGAGAGGCACAAGGAATGGGCGATTTCGACCCTCCGCCTCCGGGTGAGATAGCGGTTATAGTGGAATTCCTTCTCCAACTCCAAGACCTGCTGCCTGGTGTAAGCAGTGCGTGAGCGTTTCGGTTCCCCTCCTGAATAATTGGGGTTTACTGATCGAACACAAAGGAGGGAAACAAAACAAAACAACACAACACAACAAAAGAAGAATTACTGAGCTGTTCCTTTAACGGGTCCTCTCTCTCCCCCCCCAACCCCCCCCTCCAAAAGCATCGCACATTCTTTCGGCGGGGGGAAATACTAAACAAAAAAAAATACAGCGCAAACCTAAAAATAAACCCGGAGCCTATCTCCAAATCTCCACCTCCAGCCTCGTTGCTTGACGTGTATTCCTGTCCAAACGTTTTTATAAGGTCCCCCAGCCACATTTTCCATGCCCTCTACGTGTATATGTACGCATATATACACGGCACTACTCGAACATCGCTCTGTTATCCCCAAATCTTTCAAGTTTTCCCCTGCACGCGTGCACACAGAGGAGCAGACGCGCTTCTTTTCTATTAAATATACTAAAAAAAAAAAAGAAATAAAAAAAAAAGGTGAAAGGAAAGGAAGGGAAAACAGTAAAAGTTTACTCAACCCGCCACTTAAATACAAATTACGAAAACATAAAACTTAACTTATGAAGATTCAACTGCCATTAAAAAAAAAAAAAAAAAGTAGCCTGCAAGAAATTGGAGGAGGATGGTAACAGAGACTTCAAAGGCACACGGCCAAGCAGAGCAATAAAAATTTATGGAGGATGTAATTATACCGCTCTGCAAACAGGCGATCGTAAATCTCCACGAATGGTTATTTTACAACTGGTGCAATAAGATTTCTACAAGACTTTGAGGTGCTACTTAGTATAAAGCAAAGCCACTTTAGTTCACTTACCCGTGCTTACATGGACTTTTTTCATCCAGGGGTAAACTACCGGCTCTTTGCAAGAGGAATTGGAAGGGCTTTGGTTCAGAGAGTTTTGGCTGCAGGAGGGTGGAGGGCTGGGGGTTCCCGGCTCGCAGGGATGGTTTGGCTCAGAGAGATGGCTCTGCAGTCCGGCCGGAGGATGGACATGACCCCGGGGGGATAACACCGCTGCTTGGTGCCCGGAGCTCTGACAGGACGGGTAGAGCTGTTCGCTGCATGCTGACCGCGGCTGGTACATCGCTTCATGTTGGAAAGTGCTCTCTCGCCTCTGGCTGCTGTAATATTCCGGCGAGTGATTGGGAAGGTAATCGCTGTGGGAATACTCTTCACAGGGTGGGAACTTGGGGTCCACATAGTTGGAGTTGATCAAAAACGAGCTCATGGCCATTAATTTCTTAGAATTGCACACACGAAAAAAAAAAGTATATATATATATATTTCCTAAAATTTATTCCTGTCCCCCCCTTTACTCGTTTTCCTGTTTCGTGAAACCCTCCTACTTACTGTCAAGTGAACAAAGTTGGAGTCCATGTGACAGAACGGGCCAATAGCGAGATGGCCTGCGATCCCCGGATAAGGAAATCTGCCCGGCTCGGGGCTCTCCCGGGGACCGGAGCATCCCGGGGGAGGCGGCCGAGGGCGCCCGCTCCCCTCCGGCCCCGCTCCCCGGGCCCCGCCGTCCCCTCGCTCCGCAGCGCCCCGCGGGCGATGAGCGGCGTCCCCCCCCAACCGCATCCCCCCCCCTGCCCCCCCCGCCCCGCTCTCCCGGCCCACACCCCTCGGGGGTGTGTCCTGCTTTGGGGGCGGGGGGACGGGGAAGGGGATGGGAAACAAATAAACAGCAAAAAATCCCCCCTTTCTTCTATGCCCTCCTCCCGCGCCCCCCCCCCCCGGAAAAAAAGAAGAAAAATAAGGAGTACGATTTATTTTTTTCGTGCTGTTGGGGGTTTGCGGCTGATCCGGGTGATGTTCGCACCTCGTTCCTTGCTAAGGTGGTGCGGGGAGGGACATTGAGCCTCGAGCCTGGCAGAGATGAATAGGGCTTCTTTGGGATCGATAGGAAATTCATCAGCTAATTCGGGGTACCCGTTCTCCTAAATCACATTTAGCCGTGCTCTAAGATTGACCGTTTCCCACGCACCGATGGAAAAGGGAGCCCGTCCTCCGAGCGAGCAATCAGGGGCTTGATGAGCAATTACAAAAGGGAAACGAACCTAAATCCTCCCGCGTCTCCGCCTCGCCCTTCTTGTCATAAAGACGCGTTAAAAAGCCGCAGCAAAGAAACGCTTTGCAAAAGCTGCCCCGAAATCCTCCGATTCGGTTTTCTCCCCTCGGCACGAACAGCTCGGAGCGGTGCGGAGCGATATATTCTTACTATTTTTGCGGCGGAAATTCGGTGATCACCCAAAGTAAAGCAAAGCAGATCCAAGCTCTCAGATGGCAGCAATAATACCCCCCCCTTCTCCCCCCCTTCTCCTTCTCCTCCCCTCAACTGTTTGCAGCTCAGATCGTATCTGGAAGTGATGATAAAGTTTATCGCAGGAACTCGGGAGTTAAGGTCAAATCCGAAGGATTTCTTTCCAGCCATAAAAGCAGTTTCTGGTTAAGACCTTGTTTTCACCCTTTTATTTAGTGTTCTGGGGGTGCGGGGAGGTTGTGGGGGTTTTATGTGATTTTTTTTTTAATGCCTTCTGGGATTGTGACCTGTAGCGTTTGTGTCAACTACATATTCCCCTAGATACGAATTTGTGACCCAACTTCCTTTACACAAATTCGGATCTACAGGGTACATATAGAAGACAGATGCATCCTCCTCGGTCAGAGATCTTCGCTACTGTCATAATTCTCTTCTGGGAGGGGACGGGGGGTGGAGGGAGGGAGGGGGCAGGAGGAGGGCTAAAGTTTTGCAACTCTAGAGATCGAGATTTCATCTCTAGATAACGATGGTGAAAATGTTCAATCTTCGGAGGAAGGAAAATGAATTGAAGCATCATCTCTCTATCCGAACAGCTGAGAGTAGATTAGGAAGCCGGAGCTTTTTTCTACCTTCCTTTTTTCCATCCCTTTACGCGGTAGTTTATTGCTTTGCAACACCACGGGTTCGTGTGCGGGATGCGCAACGTGAACGGACCCCAATAGCAAGAATGGGACGTGAAAAGTAAATCTCCGCAGCTCCGTTCCCCTCATTCCTTGAGATCCGCGTCATTACGCTCCGATTCGAGGCGCAAAGATTCCGTCCGGTTTTTTGTTTTCGTTTTCGGAGCGCAGCCGAGGATTTGGGCTGGGATCGAGGGCGAGGAAAAAGTGTGTATGGATGTCAAAGGGGGGGGAAAAAAAGGGAAGAAAAAGGAAAGAAACAGATGAAAAGAAATACAGAATGTAAAGGCAGATGGGACGACAGGTTTTTGTGTGCTCCCCCCTCCCTCCCCCCCCCCCCCCCA